AGCTGGTCAGCATTGTTACAATAATTCTTGTTTGAATATAAGAGAGGGGGACATATGGAGTTGAGAAGTTGAGCGAAGGAGAAGTGCTTTGACATTGGTTCTTTGCTGGTGTACTTCATCTTCTTCCTTCTTACTACTACTTCTTCTTCTTCTTATCCTCTCAATCCTCTCAAGTTCATTCATTTCTGTTGCAATTGGGCAGCATTGTGCTTTATTGGTGAATTTGTACTTCGCAATTGGTCCGGGTCATAACAATAACCTAGTTTGGTTGTGTATTGTAGTATGTTGAATTTGGTGTTGATTCCTGAAGTTCCTTGTTTTAAGTTCCATGCCCATTCTGCTGGGTCTACTTCTAGGTTCTCTAATGGGGTTTGGGGAGTCCATGTTCTATTCTGCATTCTCTTTCTCAGCGTCCAAAAAAAAAAAGAAAAAAAAAAAAGAAAAAACAGAAAAAAACAAGAAAAAAACAAGAAAAAAAACAAGAAAAAAACAAGAAAAAAACAAGAAAAAGATATAAAGCGGAACTGACTAATGCTGCCAAGATAACTCTGGCCGGGTGCCATTGTGAGCTCCCCGGCCTCCATTTTCGAATTATTAATGAAAACGTCAGTTGAAAAAAAAAGAAAAAAAAAGTATCCTCTGCAGTCATCTGCTTCAGAAAGTTCAGAGATGAATCGTCTGATCAACTCCAGTGGGTAGTGTGTGACGAAGGCCAAGAAGCTTTGACTAGTACCTGTTTTGAAATCGTATAAAGTTTTTTGTACTTGGCAAAAAAGTTGGCATTCCTTTCCTCGAGCTTCTCTTCCCGATCCCGGTTCCTTGAACTCTCAAGCTCGAGTCTTCTGCGCGTTTCCTTCAACTCCATTATTTTCTTGTTTTCGGCGCTCAAAGTCAGCCATGCGTCATTGTCTTTCCGTACCATATCGGTCTTGCCACGCATGCCATCGACTAGTACTCTTTCAGCGCCTGAACTTGTTGTCTCATGTGCTCCTTGAGGAAGGGCGCGTGGAGAAGCAGCAATAGTGGATGGCTGCTCCTTGGGAGCCTTCCTGGGCGACAGCATTCCGGAAGCATTGCTGGCAGATTGCAGTTCATGAGGAGGCGCTCTCTCTGGCGTTGGAGCAGTGTCCCAGCTTGGGAGCTCCGTTGAGTTGACCGGTGCTTTGGCTGTTTGGACCTCCTCCTCTTGTTCAATGGAAGATGTATTATGGCCCGGATCTTCCACTGGATCCACCACTCTTAGGTTATCTCTAATTATACCGATCATCGATGGATCATGTGTCCCAGCCCTGCTGATAACTGCCTGGCCCAAATCCTCGATCGCATTTCCCACTGGAGAAGCTGTCACTTTTGGGAGCTCTTCAGGCCCATCAGGGGCCACATTGGGTTTTGCTGGGCTGGCAACAGCTGTGCCGCCGGTAATCACCTTTTCATTCTTAAGAAGCTCTATGACAGGTGCTTGCGGGTGGGGGCTGCCGTCATTGGCCTCGTGGTCGTCCAAATCATTGCGGCCATGATGCAAGCTCAGGCTGACGTCAGCGGAAGTGCCTGTTTGCTTGGCAAAGCTTACCAGCCTTCCTTCGTCTGGTGGAACCACATCTGTCTGGGTCCCGGCATCGATCACCTTGACTGTCTCGTTGCTCCCATGCCAAGGGAGGTTACCGTACTGTTTTTCATTCCTCTCAATCTCTTCTTGTTGTTGCTGCAAGAGTGCCTCCTGTGACTCGATCTTCCATGTAGCCGTCAGCAACTGACGCTCCAAGGACTTCACCTCTGCCTGGAGCTTCTCAGTTTCGTCTTTGTGCTCTTGCAACTCGGTGTCACGCTGTTGCCGCAACGAATTGATTTCGGTCGTCTGCGATTCTATGTACGCCGACATTTGCTTAACGTCTACCTCGAGGTTGTCTTTCACTATCTCCACCATAGACTTCCGTTGCTGGCGTCCTGGTTGGGGGGAGAGGTATCACAGCTCTCCGTCCCAGCCAGCCGTCGACGACACCATATGCCATACACAGTGATATACATAACATGCGAAGAAGAACAATAAACATTCATGAACGATGATCTGAGCGAAGAAGAGCAATGGACAGACGTTCATTGACATAGCGCATTCAATTATGAATTTGGCAAAAGAACATTCTCAGACTGAGCTCACCCAGTTCGTAGACTGCCCAGCTGTTTCTTTTTTTTTGAAGGGGGGGGGTGCAGGGGAGAGGGCCTCCTTATAGTCCTGGGCCCCTGGCTCAGAACTGCCCAGCGCCTTTCACATAGCAATTGATACAGAAATGTGTAGTGACAACAAAATCTGCGAACAACTTAAAGCGCTAGTACACGGCCTCAGCCTTGCAGAAAGTTTTACGGCCACGAGCAAAACTCGGAGGCGCCGCGTGGCCAGGCCCGCCGTTGAAAAAAAATATTGGCGACCTCCAAAGTGGTGCGGGTTTCGTGCTGACACCCGCGGGCCGATATGTGGTGTACTGGTGCTTTAAAGCAAGAGCAATAGACATTCACTCACATGATACATGCAAGAAGAAATTCGCAAAAAGACATTCTCAGGCGAGTTAATGCAATTTGAAAACTGCCCTCCCCCCTCCTTTTTCACATGGATTCATCGCATACCACAGTTGGGACAATACGAAGTCAAAAGAACGAGCTGCTTTCTCAGGTATTTTTCATTCTGGATCAGCAAACAGGACACGAGATCACAAACGCCAACATGACTTACCCAGTCATCCTCAATGAGATGGAACAGAAATTCGCCAGTATATATATATATATATATATATATATCATATATATATGTATATATATATATATATCGTCACAAACAGAACTGCCCGGTAAACCGTAGGCAGAGAGAGAGAAGAGGACAACAAACGAGGGGCTGTGACAAACTGTTT